ATTAATAAGAGGAAAAATCCACCAAGAAGAAATCTCAATCTTATACATTTGTGCCCCTAATAAAAGAATATCCACATATGTAAAAGAAACATTACTAAAGTTTAAATCACACAACAAACCCACACAGTCATAGTAGGAGACTTCAAAACTCTACTCTCTCCATTGGACAGGTCAAACAGAAATAAATTTAACAGAGAAATAAGAGAAATAGCTTGTCATGAAACAAACGGACTTAACACACACCTATAGAACGTTCCAACCAAACACAAAAGAATGTACTTTCCTCTCAGCACCTCAAAGAAATTTCTCTAAAATAGGCCACATACTTGATAGCAAAGCAAACCTCCACAGGTACAAAAAAATGGAATAACTCCCTGTATCTTATCGGATCACCATAGTTTATACCTAGAATTTAACAGTCTTCTCAGAAATCTTACAAACTCATGGAAATAAAACAATCAACCATTGAACCATCCATGAGTCAATGAAGACTTAATGAATGAAATTAAAGACTTCCTATAATTCAATGAAAATTAAGGCACAATGTACCCAAACCTATGGGAAACTATGAAAGCAGTGCTACGAGGTAAGTACATGGCCCAAAGTGCACATATAACGAACGTGGAGAAAACTCAGACCAGTGACTTAAAAGCACACCTGGAAGTTCTAGACCAAAGAAAAGTAGAATCACTCAGGATGAGGAGAAGACAAGAAATAATCAAACTGCACATCCTCTCCAGCATAGGCTATCATTGTTGTTTTTGAGTTTAGCTATTCTGACAGGTGTAAGATGGTATCTCAAAGTGGTTTTGATTTGCATTTACCTGATCGCTAAGGAGGTTGAGCATGACCTCAAGTGTCTTTTGGCCACTCAAATTTATTCTGTTGAGAATTCTCTGTTCAGATCAGTAGCCCATTTTTATTTGGGTTAATTAGAGTTTTAGTGTCTAGTTTCTTGAGTTCATTGTATATTTTGGAGATCAGACCTTTGTCTGATGAGGGGTTGATGAAGATCTTCTCCCAGTTGGAAGGTAGCCTTTTAGTCTTAATAACAGTGTCCTTTGCTTTACAGAAGCTTCTCAGTTTCAGGAGGTACCATTTATTCATAGATTCTCTTATTGTCTGTGCTACTGGGGTTCTACCTAGGAAGTGGTCTCCTGTGACTATGTCCTGTAGACTACTTCCCATTTTCTCTTCTATCAGGTTCAAAGTGGTCAGATTAACATAGAGGTCTTTAATCCATTTGGACTTGAGTTTTGTGCATGGTGATAGATATGGATCTACTTTCATTCTTCTACATGTTGACATCCAGTTATGCCAGCACCATTTGTTAAAGATGCTATCCTTCTTCCACTGTATACTTTTCGCTCCCTTGTCAAAAATCAGGTATTCAAAGGTTTGTGGGTTAATATCCGGGTCTTCTATTAGATTCCATAGGTCGACTTGTCTGTTCTTATGCCAATACCAAGCTGTTTTCAATACTGTAGCTCTGTAATAGAGTTTTAAGTCAGGGATGGTTATACCTCCAGAAGTTCCTTTATTATATAAGATTGTTTTGGCTATCCTGGGTTTTTTGTTTTTCCATATAAAGTTGATTATTGTTCTCTCAAGGTCTGTGAAGAATTTTGATGGGGATTGCATTGAATCTATAGATTACTTTTGGTCGAATTGCCATTTTAACTATGTTGATCCTCCCAATCCAAGAGCAAGGGAGATCTTTCCATTTTCTGGTATCCTCCTCAATTTCTTTCTTCAAAGACTTAAAGGTCTACAAGAGCCTGTTCCAGGTCAGGCTCCAAAGCTAAAGAGAAACCCTGTCTCAAAAAAACAAAACAAAAATAAAATAAATAAGTAAATAAAATAAAAAAATAAACCCTTTAAATGAACCACAGAGACAGAGTTTTTAAAATGTTTTCAATCCAAGTAAGTTGAATCTATTGATACAAAAATCACAGTGATATTAAGGGACAACTCTACTGGGAATTCACACATTGAAACCAAATTTAAGGGTTTGACCCCATTGTAGTTATAAAGTGTTTGAAGTTTAAATTGTCCCAATAAACTTCTTATTGATAAAATTGTTAAACAAATATAAATATCCACTTTATGAATACTTAAAGTTTTCTCCTGAGTTTCTCACATAACTCTGTAGCTGTTTACAGTTTCCTGGGTAAGTATTTGAGCATGATCTTCTGGATTCATTTTATATATTTCCTGTCCTAGGCCTGAAATTAAAACCTGCTCTGAGAAAAAAATAATCAAACTGATGCCTGAAATCAATAAAATAGAAAAAAGGAAGGAATACAAAATAGCAATGAGACAAATAGCTGGTAATTTGAAAAAATAAACAAGACAGACAAACCCTGATCCAAACTAATCAAAAGGCAGAGAGAAAACATCCAAATTAAAAAAAAATCATAAATGAAAAGCAGTACAAAACAACAGACACTGAGGAAATTCAGAGGCTAATTAGGTCATGATATAAAAACATGTACTCCACAAAATTAGAAAATGAAAAAAAGAAATGGACAATTTTATGAATAGATACCACATACCAAAATTAAATCAAGACATGAAAAACAATTTAAACAAACATAAACTGCAAGAAAGTAGAAGTCAACACAAACCTCCCCAGACCACAATTTTTCAGTGTAGAATTATACAAGAGCTTCAAAACAGAGGAAAAAGTGCGAGTCTCATTTTATGAGATTACCGTTATACTGAAACAACAAGTTTCAACCAAGAAAGAGAATTACAGACCAATCTCACTCATCAACATAGAAGCAACAATACTCAATGAAATACTGGCAAACCAAATACAAAATCACATCAAAGTATATCTTCCTCCATGATCAGGTTTGATTCATTCCATAGTTGTAGAGATGGTTCAACATATGAAGATCTAGCAATATAATCCATCATATAAATAAAATGTAAAAATAAATATGATTATTTCATTAGGTGTTGAATAAACATTCAGCAAAATCCAACACCTTGTCATGATAATGGTCTTGGAGAGATCAGAGACAAAAGAAACATATCTAAACATAATAAGAATGATATACAACAATCTGACAGCCAACATCAAATTAAGTGGAGAGAAATTCAAAGTGATTTCACTAATATAAGGAAAAAGACAAGGCTGCCCACTCTCTTTAATTCTTCAACACAGTTCTTGAAGTTCTGATTAGAGGAATATGACAACAACAGGAGATCACAGGATTCACAATGGAAAGGCAGAAGTCAAATTTTCATTATTTGCAGATGGTTTAATGGTATATATTAGTGAACCCAAAAACCCTACCAGGGAGCTCCTACAGCTGATAAATACCTTCAGCCATGTGGAATGGTACAAAACCAACAGAAAGAAAAAGAGAAAAAAGAGTAGCCCTCTATATACAAATGATAAAGAAGCTGAGAAAAAACTCAGCAAAACTTTACCACTTCAGAATAGTCCCATACAACATAAAATATAATGATGTAACAGTAGCTAAAGAAGTTAAATATGTGCCTGACCTAATGGGAGCTTACCAACTCCAACTGGACTGGGAATGAATGAGCATGGAATCAAAGTAGTTTCTCTGAATGGGCCTGACAGTTAGGGCAGACTGAGAGGCCAGTGACAATGTCATTGGGATTTGTCTCTGCGGCATGTGCTGGCTTTTTGTGATGCTATTCTCTTTGGATGTACACCTGCTCAACCTGTATGTAGTGGAGAGGGCCATGGACTTTCCATAGATCAGGGTGCCTTGCACTCTCTTAAAATTGGATGGGTTGGAGAAGGCATGTGTTGAGGAGGGAGTGGGAGGAGGGGAAGAAGTGGAAATTTGGATTGATATTTTTTAAAGTAATAAAATAAAATAATAATAAAAGAACTTTATGTCTTTGAAGAAATAAATTGAAGAAGATATCAGAAAATGGAAAGATCTCCTATGCTCTTTGGATAGGTAGGAAAAACATAATAAAATTGACAGTCCTATTAAAAGCAATCTATAGATACAATTCCATCCTCATCAAAATCCCAACACATTTCTTCACAGATGTTGAAACAACAATAAACAGCTTCATATGCAAAAACAGAAATTCCAGGATAGCCAAAACAATCTTGTACATATATGAATATCTATTGGCTTCAATATCCCTTACACCAAGCTCTATTAAGGAGCTATAGTAATTAAAACAGCTTGGTATTGACATAAAAACAAAGAGGTTGACCAATGGAATTGAATCAAAGACACAAATATTGATTCACACACAAATGAACACCTGATTTTTGGAAAAGAAAATAAAATTATACAATGAAAAAAAGAAAGCATCTTCAACAAATGGTGCTGGCATAACTGGATGTCAACCTATAGAAAAATGAAAATACATCCATATCTATTTCCATTCACAAAACTCATGTCCAAATGGATTAAACACCTCAATTAAATCCTACCACACTAAACCTTATAGAAGAGAAAGTGAGAATTGGCCTTCAGTACTTGGGCACAGCAGACCACTTCCTAAATAAAACCCCAGCAGCACAGGCACTGAGAGCAACAATAAATAAATGGGACCTCCTGAAACTTAGAAGCTTCTGTAAAGCAAAGAAAACAGTCAACAATACAAAATGGCATCCTACCAAATGAGCAAAGATCGTCATGAACCCCACGTCAGACAGTGGACTGATCTCCAAAATACATTAAGAACTTAAGACATTAGACATCAAAATTCCAAATTATACAATAAAACAATGGGCTGCAAAACTAAACAGAAGAATCTCAGATGCTGAAAGACATTTAATGAAATGTTCAACCTCATTGGCTATATATATATATTTAAATAAAGAAGAAGCATGCCAATGGAAGTGGTCACTGATAAAGATCTTGTAAAGTTATGTTGTAGCCTAGAGAAGGTTCAGAACCAGCATCACTTCATTCTCTGATGTCCTTTTGAAAACTTGATAAATTGCTTATAGGATTGTGAAGTGACAAAGGAACACTCAAATGATTATGTCTTTGTAAGTCTCCAGGCTAATATTCTCTGTTATTTAAATCAAAGGCAGCTTCCTGCTCCTTCAGGGTTTCTAACATGCTCAGGATGTGGTTGTAACACTGTGGTCTGGCACAGTAATAAACCACAGAGTCCTCATATCTCAGGCTACTGAGTTCCATATAGGCTGTGCTGGAGGATTTGTCTGCAGTCAATATGGTCTTGCCCTGGAACTTCTGTGCATAGCCAGTACCACCATTACTAGGAATAATATATCCAATCCACTCTAGGCCCTCTCCAGATCTCTGCTTCATCCAGTTAATATTATAGTCAGTGAAAGTGTAGCCAGAAGCCTTGCAGGACATCTTCACTGAAGACCCCGAGCTCTTAAGCTCAGTCCCAGACTGATGTAGCAGGATCTGGGACTGGACACCTGCGGAGAAAAAATTGAATAAATGTCATTGTTACCAGAGTGTATAGACCATCTTTACTTCTGGGACTGGAGAGCCGCTTACATATAGATGCAGATGCCAGGAAGATGATCCAGGTCCATTCCATGGTGAGGACTTCTGTGCTCTGTGACTGCGAAGAGCACACTGTGATAATCTGTTGTGTGTGGACACCTATGTACTTACAATCACAGATTCACATTGTTTGCTTATTCATGAGGCATGGTACTTAACTAGTCCAGCCAGTTCAGGCAAAAGGATGCTGAGGTACAAGTCCTCATCCTGTCTGAGGTGTTAGCCATTACTGACAGCTGTGGTGAATCTATGGTTAATAGAAAAGACTTAATCATTCAACTTAAAAATTAAATCCCAACGTGAGACATTTAAAACTTTTCCTGAAAATATTGATTTCGAGGTGGTGGTAGCGAAAAGGATAATTGTGAATGGAAGTTAAAGAACTCTCAATTTAGGATAATTTGTAATCTTTTTAAATGTACAAGGAATTAATATTTGATTTTGCAGAAGTTTTCTGGTATATGTTCCTGAGAATGTTTTCTTTAAATTCTTTTATCTTATATCTACTTATTTGCTTTCTGTGAAGAGAAAGAATGGTTGTTGAATTGAGAATTAGTAATGTGGGAAGGATCTGAAAATAGGCACAAAAACTGTGATCAGAATAAAATATTGTATAAAAAACTATGTTTTTCAAATTCAAAAATAAATAAGTAATTTTTACTAGTATAAATGAAAAAATAAAAAAGTAAATCAATGTTTAACAAAGAATTTTTACTATGTTTGAAAATTGGAGATTTTATGTAAAAACTGTATCAGGTGTTGTTCAACTAATAGAGTTTAAGAAAGGAGCCCACAAATGCTAGGGAGATCACACCACTCCTCATCTCATTTCTGTCTTTTTGATTATTGGCTCCATTTTGCCCCCTGCTGGTCCTGAGCTCCCCTGCAATTTGGTATGGCATGATTTACTCTGAAGTTTCACAGTCTCTCTTACATAATAACATAGTCATGTTACTTCAGTGCTCATAGAGATCAGCTCTTGTTTCTTGGGGATACTGAAGGGATGTGCCACAGACAGTACCTCTATTGTTATATATATATTGTTTAATGCCATGATATCTCCTCATGGCAACCGAATCCATATCCACAGTATTCACTAGCACTACTGATTCACTGAAAAAAATTCCTGCATGCCAAATCACAGTGGACAAGAAAAATAAGCATCTTCTTTTTGCTAGACTCCTCATATTTTGCAGGGAATCATATAATTGGCCTAGACTAATTACCTTGTGAGGCACTCGTCAGAGGTTTCCAGGTTAGAGTCCTTGGTTACTGGGACACTGTGTTTTTCAGTTCTTGATAAAAATAAGTCACTTCCTGAGGCAGTGAAGTTTACAGGCCACCTCTGTTACTTTATAATTTCTGTAAGTCCATAAATGATATAGAAGCTTGAGAGAACAATTGATATTAGAATTGACATTTTATACCCAAACATTCAAATATCATAATATGCTGTTAAATACCATTTCAACAATCACAACAACTGGTATTATAATCTTGTTTTGATAGGAGTATAAATTTCTGATTTTTCACCATATAATTGTCACATTGTCAGTCTTGCTGAGTTCCCTTTATCCTGGTCTAGTTAAAATTCAATTCTCATTGATTATAAAATGGACATTTTGGCTTTTTAAGAAAGTAATGCTGTTTACAAGGTTTATATCAATTGGACTAATGTGGTTTTTTGAAGAATCGTTTGTCCATATCCTCGAAAAACAGCTTATTTCAAGCTCATTAAATATTGCTCATATATTTACCCCCTTTCTTCAGCATACCTGGGAGATATTTAGAAATTAATTCACAGACTCTTGATGTCCATAGTGTGACTAACCTGCAGGTTTACTGTTGTAATTGCTGGTCATTAGCAGTCATCTCTGATGACCTCCACTCTGGCATTAGGGAACAGACAATAGATCTCTTGGTTTTTGTGTTAAAACTATGCTTTGGAATGAGTTATGTTTCTCTAGATAACAGTAATTCCATATTCTATAGTTGGTTTGTTCTCAAAATTTTCTTCATAGGTAACAAAAATATTCTCTAAAATGGTTCAGATCTGAACCTGTAGATTCTCTTTTTACATATATATGAAATCTGCAATCCTTAATATTAAAACAACAGCAAACTTTGCTTCTACCATTGATGCTTCTCTAACTCACAGGTAAAACTTTCAAGTTTCCCTATCTTTAACCGCAATAAAGAGTTAGATTTTAATAAGCATGAAAACAATATTAACAAAAAATATCCATAAAAAGCAGAAAACTCTGAATAAGAATTTTTGTCAATGGAATGCAGTTAGAACAGAGACTAGAGATGACAGGAACTGGTGTGTATACTGTCATCTCTCAGACTTTTTGACAAGCTGAGGGTATAAGAAACACCTTCAAAGGAACAATTGCATGAAACATTGAGGAATAAAGTAATCTTTAGAAGGATGTAAATTCCAATATGCATTTGTGAAAATATTAATTGTTTCCACCCTATTAGGACATCCAAACAGTGGAAGCTATAAACAGTAGACATCTTATTTGCCTCTCCTATTAACTCAATCTTTCTTCCCAATCCTTAGTTTGTCTGTCCAGACTTTACTTCATGCCTGGCTACTGACCAATCATCTTTCTTATTAAAAGAAGAGCAACACATTTTTACAATATACAGTATCATTCCACAGCATTAAAAAGGTACAGATCAGAACCACATAATTCCACAAACTGTGAAATCCTATACAATACAAACTTAAAAGCTATACTATATATGCAAAGGAACTGTAGGTTAAAATAAGAGATATATAAATAAACAAGTAAATAAAATTCCAAAAAAACACATGATATAAAGGGACTAGGAGCCTCCAAAATGGTTTTTAATTCGATATCTGATGACTATCTTTTGCAGGTCTTACAACTTTTTCTTAATAAAGCTGGTTTCCTCAGTTAGACTCCCTCACAGAGAAGTATTTTATTCATTTGCTGCGGGTTATCTACTGGAGATAGCATATGTGTTAGGAATGAGCAAATATGTCATCTTCCCCACTCAGCTAAAAGACCCCATCTTGCGCTTATCCATGCAGGCTCTGTGCATGTTTCCTCAGTCTTTCTGAATTTATTTGTGCAACTATACTAACCATCTAAAGGTCCTTTTATTTTTGGTGCTTCTATCACTCCTAACATTCATACTCTTTTCACATCTTATTCAGTGTTTTCTGAGCCTTGATAAGATGTCATGAAGTCATATAAAATGGTGTTAATTGTCTATGATTTCTCCATCTCAGAATATTATCTAACTGTGGACCACTGTATGTGTTCACATCTGCTGGAGGAGGTAGCTTCACTGATTATGTCTGGGAGTGGCAATAATCTTTGAGTGTAGCAGAATATCATTTGGAGTAGTGTTATTGCAATCATCTTTTTATAGAACAACAATAATTATTTTTCTCCTACTTTCCTTGACTATCTAGTCTCAGATTTCTGGTTACTCAAATAATGTAGAATAGGATTTCTATTTCTTGAATGGGACTAAATTAAATAAGATATTGTTGGTTACTGCCAAAAGTTTCTTCCACCTTTGGCATACAGTATCTTACAGGCAAGATACCATTATAAATCAAAGGAGTTGTTGATTATGTTGATATTAAATTTCTTTCTTCTACTGTATTATGTTTCCACACTACTATTCAAATGTCCCTTACTTTTATCTATCTTTCCTCTTATTCCCTCCCTTACTTTCATTTTTCTCAAATTGCAGTTTTGATCCTCTCTTCCAGCTATCCCTCCAAACATCCACAGTTCCATACTATTTTCTGTTGCTACTGGATATATATCCTCTCCAACTCAATATCTTAACACTTAAAAGTCTTTATTTTGAACCCATGTTTTCAATTCTGGCTGTGAATAATTTATTCTAGACAGCAGGCCCAAGAATAAAAACAGGAAATTAATGAAGTCTATATCAAATAAATTCACACATTTTTCTTATAGACTAGGTATCATTACTTTCATCTGCAATTAGAAATTGTAAAACAACACTTTTGTTAGAAATATAACTGTATATCATGTTTGCTTGTTGAATCTGCCTTGAGAGATCCAATAAGTTTAACAAGAAGGGGCACGACCTGAATGGGCATAACAAATAGTGCTAATCCCAATGGTGAGAAAAAGGCCACTACCTCAATTTGACTCAGGTTTTAAGTAAGCATAATTTTTATGCTTACTTTCAAGAGTAATTTTTAAGAGTAATTTCAATTTGGGCTTCTTTCAAGAGTTGACCAGTGACTGTCTCCTAAATTTGTTTAAAGAGAGCAACACCAAATCCATCAATTGGTCCCCTTTTAAAGACTAGAATACAGGTAGTTTTAGAAAATGGAGACAGTAAGTCTATAAAAAAATCTCAGAAAACATTATAAGGTCAACAACCATGTAATTAAAAGGTTACAGGGATGTCTCAGACTATTTATGACTGTATACAGGATGGCTACAGATTTTTTTTAGTTAGTCTTGTATGCTATATAATTACTGAAGGTGTTTAAGAGTTTTAGAAGTTCCTTGGTAGAAATTTTTGTGTAACTTGTGTAAACTATCATATCATCAGCAAATAGGCAGAGTTTGACATCTTCTTTTCCAACTTGAATCCTCTAAATCTCTTTTTGTGGTCTTATTGATCTAGCTGGAACCTCAAGTACTATATTGAATAGATATAATGAGAGTGGACAACCCTATAATGTTCCTTATTTCAATGGGATCACTAATGTGCCAAACGGTTTATAACTAATGTAGACTTCTGTGTGATTCTTTGGAACTTAACTGCTGAAGTATTAGGCAAGACAGAAAACCTCAGTCTAAACAGAATGATGCCCATGTGGATAACTGCATCCACATAACACCTGAGAGAGGTTAGGAAGTCATTTTACACAGAAAAAATAGAGTTAACTATGATTTATTGATAGTAGCACGTTTTTGGATTGGCTCTACTTGATAGAGGCAAACACTTTAGGGAGATTGAAGGGGGAGGGGAGAGACAGGTAGGGAAGCAGAGAAAAATGTAGAGTTCAATAAAAATCAATAAATAGAAACTCACTTTACAACAAATCATGTATTAATTAAAAAAAGAGAGGCTTCCT